GGGAAATGGAGACAAGGTGGGAAACAAAGTGGTAAAAGGAGAATGACCATCAAGGATGGACGTGGGCATCCGGTTAATTAGGAAGCAAGAAGTAAGCACAGCATCACTCCAAAAAGGTTTGAGTACATTCATATGGTGCATGAGGGATCGAGCAGTTTCCAAAAGGTGACGATTCTCTCTCAGCCACCCCATTTTGTTGTGGGGTGTAGGTACATGAAGTCTGATGAATAATACCATGTTGTTCCAAATATTCCTGAAATGACGTATAAAAATATTCACGGCCATTAAACAATTCACTCATTTCTTTCATTAGATAAAGCCATGTCATCCTTGAATAATCATCAACAAAAATAACAAAGTATCTATAACCATTTATGACATTACTTTATTAGGACCCCAAACATCTGAATGAACTAAAGAAAAAGGACTCGACATACGTTTATCAACACTAGGACTAAAGGGAACATGATGATGTTTCCCCAATTGACATGACTCACAATCCAAAACAGAAAGATGACTCAATGAAGGAACAAGAGACTTCAAAACTGTAAGTGACAGATGACCAAATCGACAGTGCCACTAGAGAGGAGAAAGAGATGTCTGAAGAGTTGTTGACGTACTTCCACCACCATCAAGGTAATACAATCCACCAGCTTCATGCCCTCCACCAATCTTCATCCCCGTCTTGAGATCCTGAAAAGCACACGAAGAAAGGTAAAAAGTGATAGAGCAATTAAGAGACTTAGTCAACTTACTAACAGACATAAGGTTAAAAGGAAATTTAGGGACATACAAAACTGAGGATATAGATAAAGGGTCCATGTTAACATTACCAATACCACAAATGGAGGATGTGGAACCAATAGAAAGGGTAACAAATTGTGATGTTGGGCAGTGAGAGAGGGAAGAAAACACACCTGGAGTTCTAGTCATGTGATCGGAGGCTCCAGAGTCAATAATCCAGGGATTGGGTTTGGATGCCAGATAAACCATACCTGAGTGTGCAAGAGTGGTTGTATTCAGTTGAGATGTGGCTCGAACAAACCTCTCATACTCATCACAGGGAACAATCATCATCTCCTTCCCGGGAACATCTGTGGATATAGGGGGCATATGATCAATTGAATGGCTCTCTTGTCTGAAGTTGTTGTCACTGGTCATGGCATGATTGGCCCAAGTTGAAGGTGGACCATGCAAATCATAACAACAATTGATGGTATGTCCATCCATACCACAGTGTGTACATCTTCTCGGACCAAAATTATGTCATCTGCCATGGACTCCCCCTGAATCTCGACCTCCAGTACGACCACCACCACGACTATACATAGGTCCACCACCACCACTACGGCCATATACCGGTCCACTGCTACCACTACGGCCAGATTAAACTCCTTGAGCTCCACCTCTAACACCACGGCCCCTTGATACTACAAAGGCTGACCTATCAGAAACACACTAGAATTCTAGGTAGATCCAATAGAAATCCTCCTAAGCCGAGCAAACACCTCTTCAAGGAAGGGAGAGTTGATCATCCTATCCTAGTATTTTGCCCGCACTGGTTCATATTCAGACTTCAGCCCCACCAAAAATCTGGTCACATCTAGTTGTTCTCTTTGTTGTTGCTGAATTTTAACATCAGAGGTAAGGGGGTGATACACATTCAGCTCATTGTGAAGGTTTCTCATGCTAGCATAGTATTCCTCAAGACTCCGATTACCCTGTTGCAAATTAAAGTATTCCTAATACAACTGATATACTCTAGTTGTGTTGTCTTGTCCCGAATACAACTTCTTAGCATGGTCCCAAACTTCCTTGGCAGTATTGAGAAACATGAAATTCATACTAATCTTGGGTTTCATACTATTCCATAACCATGTGATAATTTGTGCATCTTCTTGTTCCCAGTCACCATACTCATGAGATTTATTAGAGGGTTTTTCCTCCCATATGTGCTTCACTTTCTTCTTTGCTTTAAAGAAGACTTTTACAGATTTCGCCCAAGGTACATAATTTTCTCCATTCAACTTGATAGAAGTCATCTGAGCATTCAAGTAGTCGGTGGGAACCATCACACTAGTTTTACTTTCACTATTGTCTCCCATGGCTGAAAAAAAAAAATCTTTTTCTTACTCTCACCACACTGCACACTATACCACACTGCTCTCAGCACCTATTATTGCTGAATTCTTCACTCTCTACACCACAACCTTACCACACGACTACTCGAATATCACTCCCCCTTCAAACCACACTGAAACCTGCACAAACCCTAACACACTACAACCTATGTTTGCACCATGGTAAGGCGGAAGTTGGTCAGTCTCTGAAGGTCCAAAGATGGCAGCGAGAAAGAGAAAGGATTTGGGGAAGGGAGGAGAAGAAAGGAGAGAAGGGAGAGTTCCTTTCTCAGAAACCCTAGGTCAAGGTTGTAATATGTTGTCTCCCTAGGGAAGAATTGCTCTCCCCTTTCATAGAGAGAAAGTTAAAGTTACCAAGGAAGAAGTTCTTTCCTGTTAGGAAAGGGGATCTTTTCCGTTAGGAAAGGAGATCTTTCCTTTTGTTTGACTATTAAGGGATTTAGAGAATCCTATCTCTTCCGGATTCTCTCCGTATGTGACCCTAGTATTCCGATGTGACACGGGTGACATCATCGTTTGGCGTGCGTAATTAAAAGACGCACGTGTAACCGACATTTATTCCCGATCTACTGTGATTCTGCGGTTCTTGTAATGGTGTCGGGTTCATCGCAACTCTGTGTGTGTTCAGGGTTCATCGTAAATCTGCACGTATCCGGGGTTCATCGCAAACCCACACGTGTCCTAGCTTTATCACTGATTTGCGCTAGCCGAAGTTCATCGCAACTTGTTTTGGGTATGAGTTCATCGCAATCGCAGATCTACGATGAACTTACCGCAAACGTGCGATGGGTTATGGATTCATCGCAGGCGTCCACGTAGCGTTGGTTTAACACCCTCTATATTCTGATGGTCTTAGTGACCACTATGTACCTACAACCTGAATTTTCACCACACGACTTGGAACACATCCACCATTTAATTCACACTAAAAACTGCATAAAAATCACTTACCTAATCACCAGAAAATCAAGTTGTACTCAACACTCCACTGCATCACTCAAATCTGCCCTCTTCTCTTAATCGATTAGGGGGGGCTTCCTACAAACCACAGAAAACACTCACGAACTGCATGACTGGAGGCATAGAAACCTCCAAGGGAAGAGGGCGATAACTCCTTTTCAGCCCCTTCCCTTATCTCCAACTGATGACGAAGAAAAAAAATAGAAAACCCTAGACTGGATGCGTGAAGATCAGAATTCTGGGCAGATTCGATTTTCTCAACCTAGCTCTGATACCATATTATAATCCAATCTGCTCTTGAATTCTGTTAGAATAAAGACTGTAGAAGTAAGAGAAAGATGAGAAGAAGAAGAAGAAGAAGGAGAAGAGAAGAAGATAGAGAAGGAGAGAAAATCTGGTTCGAACAAGAGAGAATACACTCTCTAGTCGGCCAGGTCAATTTATATGTTTCTATTTAATAACAAAATGTCTCCTTTGCCCATACTTAAGTGAGGGATACAACTACTAATAGAACATTACACATCAGCAACTTAAACATAAATAATAAAGACTAAAATACCCCTACAGTCGACATTAACAGCTTTCTCGACCCAAAAGTTGCTGTCAAGAATTCTGATCTGAGTACATCACCTTGCTCAATTGAACTTGAATAAAATGAGAATATATTTCCGTTCTCATCCCTTATTACCCCACTGGTACCTGATGGTCCCAGATTACCCACGCAACTACTATCAAAATTCAGCTTCTTCCAACTGCAACTTGGTGGTGACCATTCTGCAGTGGTTTTGTCTAAAATTTCTCTTCCTTTACTATATATATTTAAAAAAATTAAAAACTAATTTTGCAGCTCTCTTTGCAATAATGGCATGGTTGCAACAAAAGGATCAACCCAGATGCCAAAACCTTGACCTCTCTGATGGGATAAGAATACTACCACAAACATTCCCACTTTCTTGCCACCTAATAATGGTGAAAGAGCACCTTTATATTGATCCATCCAAACTAAGGGAGTTATAAGTCTGACTCCTTTGAAGAAGGACAAGGATCTCATCTCCAACAAAAACCTCCCTCATCACTAGATCTGAGCATAGGCATACACTTTGGTACCAACTTCAGCTACCCACAATGCCCAGAAAACTTGCTTCTAGAAACTGAGCAAAAAATAACAATTAGGATTTCTAAGAAAAGAAACTAATTGCAGATACCACTGAACCTCCCCCATCCCCATCCCCACAATTTAATAGCCAAAGAAAAACTAAATAACATACTTATAGCAAGCACCGGATTTTGGAGACTACCTCTAAAATATAGTAGAAAAAATAGAAAGAAAGAAAAGCCTTGTCTTGACAACCTGGTAGTATCAACCTCTAGCTAGGGAAGTAGAAAAGATAAAGACATCTATAATTTAAGTACAAAAACAAGAAAGAAGCAGATTTGTTTGCTTCTGGATGGCAATGGTTATAATGGCTAGATTCCTAGCAGTCCATAACAATTTCAAAGGATAACCCACAGTCCTATACACACACAAAAAAAAAAAATCACACATATAAGGAAGAATTAATATATCCACCACATTAAAAGAATCATATGCATCCTATGGATTCAGAACTCCCAACCTACCACAGCACCTCCACAAAGTGCTTGCTACTCCCCCATGTAAATAATCATCTGCTTCATTCTTGTGCACAAGCAAAACAAGGAGTACATTTATCTAAAATATATAAATTCACCACTTATTGAAAAAAATAAATACTAGAGAAAATATTTGCACAAGGCAACACTAAATCTTAGTGTCATATCTACAAATAAGATTCTACATTAACCAGAGCAACAAGAAAGTGGAAACCTGTTTCCCATACATAAAGCTAAAAGTATAGTAGGTTATAGTAATTCACATACTTCATTGAGCTTTCGGAGCTTTTCAGCTTCTTCAGCCAGTTTTTTATTCCACTCCTCCTTGGCCTTCCGGTTTATCAATAAAATTTGGCGTTGAATATCTGAGGTAATAACAGTCCGATGTCTTGGCTTTTCAATATCAACCCTCTACAATAATTTCAATTAAATTAGGAATATGAAAATATTCAATTAAAGTAAGCAAAAAGAAAATTGCCTACCTGCTTTGATAGTCTGATTAGATTACTGATCAAGCCTCGCATTCTCTCCTCCACAGACTGTAGATTCAACTGAAATTAGAACATCTAAATGCACTACTATAGAGAAAGACACTAAGTTAGCATCTCACCAATGAGAGGCAGCGTTCTACATCATTATTTATATTCTTGATGCCACATTTAGACACTGCCAATAACATCAGATAAAGATATTAATCATGCAACCCATTTTCCCATGCAGCAAAAATGCACAGATATGATGATATTAAAAAAATGTTTACTCAAAGAGAAGGACAAAGAGTTTCTAACTGATTTGTGCCAATTTCTTCTGAAGAGGTATTTTCTGCAGAATTAATCTTTCTTCTTCCTCTTGCACAACCCTTCGAGTTGCCTCTGAAGCCCGACTTTCTTCCTTAGACCCAGAGAATAGCTGCTCTTCCTCTTCCTGTTCGAAATAGAAAATCCAGTGCGTTATCATCTTTCAAAAGTATGCATTCCAACTTTCAAGTGTGTATTATTAGATGGCTAACTTTTTTATTAAATTCAATGACGTCGTGAATGAGAGGTTGAGAACTATGGAAAATATCATACCCTCAAATTAACTCCACTAACAGCAGTAACATCATTGAGCTGTTCAATGCTTTGATCAAGAAAGGCCCCAGATACCTTTTGCTTTTTACTGTGTTGTATCACATGAAACATTTTGACAAGTCAGTGTTAAATGAGAATCTAGATCAAGGATGCACAAACCATTGCACATAATCAAACTTTTTTTTTTGATAAATTCTGATGAAACAGAGAACTAATTCACCTTGATGGGGGTGTTGGGCTGCCAAGTGATTCAAGAGGTTTCTTTTGGCCAACAGAAGATTTCTTTGGGGGTGTCTTCATATTGGGTCCAACCCCTACTGGAGTGGCAGTAGATGGGATTTGGCTCCTCATCTAACAAGAAGACCAAAGCAATGAAAAGGGGAAATATAAATCTTATCAGTAAAAAACAATCAACATCTGATAGAAGACAACAATTTACAGTACAACCTCTATAAATTGGCATTGGAGGGAGCAAATCTTTCATACTAAAATGTACAAGCTATTAATTAATGCATTATGCAGACATTAAATTAGAAAGCATCAGGTAATAAGGGTTTTATTAAGTACTATTTATGTAATGTTTGAGAGGGATTAGAAAAACGAATGATCCAGGCTGTGGTGGTCAGTGGTCTCCACCAAATATTAACACCTGGTGCTTCCTTAAATACGCCATGTGATTGAAAAATAATGAAAAAACTCATTTGCATAGTGAATTTTAAAATATCCAATATAGGAAGCCACAAGGGTATTCAGTAACTACATATGTTTAGCTTTAGTTTAGTTATTACACAAATTCTAGTATTAGGTTAACTTATGACTATCTAGGTCCTTGACCACTTAATCTATGTAGGATGAGAAAGATGGTAGATGAAGAAGGATCTGAATCATGAGAAAGAGACCCAGATATGAGATCAAAGAGAACAAGAAAGTTATTTCTGATTTGAGATTAGAAGAAGGAAAGCAAAAGAATAAGAGATTTGAAGAAGACACAATTTTACCAACATGTAACTTAGAACAAATTTTTATTCCATGATTTTTCTTATAAAAATTCAACTTCACCCATCTTCAGTATCTATAACTCAACATCGCCCTCCCCGTCTACCTCCTAATGGTCATACCTTTTTGTGCTCCCCTCAACCCTTCCATCTTTTTCCACTAGATGAATCACATACATGTTCCAAAAGAGTCGTAAGATAAATTATTTAAATTAATGGTTTCCTGGCTCATTCTAAAAATATCTCCATTGTAAATTGCTTAGTGTCCTCATTGCCACTGCCAGGTTGGTACCTTAATTCCTATGGATATTTAATATTTTTAACCAATTTTCTTCTTACCAACTGATGATAGCTTGGTTGATACATTCTCTGGCTGGTTGAAGTAGAAACATTGGGATCAAATCCTAGTATTAGGTTAACTTATGACTATCTAGGTCACTGATCACTTAATCTATGTAGGATGAGAAAGATGGTAGATGAAGAAGGATCTGAATCATGAGAAAGAGACCCAGATATGAGACCAAAGAGAACAAGAAAGTTATTTCTGATCTGAGATTAGAAGAAGGAAAGCAAAATAATAAGAAATTTGAAGAAGACACAATTTTACCAACATGTAACTCAGAACAAATTTTTATTCCATGATTTTTCTTATAATAATTCAACTTTACCCATCTTCAGTATCTATAACTCAACATCGCCCTCCCTGTCTACCTCCTAATGGTCATACCTTTTGTGCCCCCTTCAACCCTTCCATCCTTTTCCACTAGATGAATCGCATACATGTTCCAAAAGAGTTGTAAGATAAATAAATTAATGGTTTCCTGGCTCATTCTAAAAATGTCTCCATTGTAAATTGCTTAGTGTCCTCATTGCCACTGCCAGGTTGGTACCTTAATTCCTATGGATATTTAATATTTTTAACCAAGCTATTAGGATTAGGTTGTTTGAATGCAACTAACATTATTTTGTTCTTACCAACTGATGATAGCTTGGTTGATAAGTTCTCTGACTGGTTGAAGTAGAAACTTTGGGATCAAATCCTGCTGTCACCAGGATTAGGGAGATGGGCAACCCCCATTGTGTAACCCCGTGAATTAAAAAACATTATTTTCTTCTCCTTTTTTGGTTCTTGATCAGTATTCACAATCAAAGAAATTTATTAGTGCGAAGGAGAAAGCACATAACCCTTCAACTAAAAGTGAGTCAAGTGATGGGGGTTCAGTGGGCCTCTCTCCACTTGCAAATGAATCAATGAGATATTTGCTGATTTATGAGCCCATCTTAGTGAGCTGTGTAGCCCAGCATCCGTGATCTTGTTTCTCTAACTTGATATATGAGAATCTAGGAACCACCTCATATAGCAGACAAACATATGATCACAACTTGGCTTGCAGTGATTATACAATAAGAAAACCGATTACAACCCCGGCAACAAAGAAAAGAGCTGAAGTTGCAGTAAGTTTCCTGCATCGATAAGACCAGGACAGCTCAATAAAACATTGCCCATGAAATCCTTATAGAACCCAACTCCAGAAGGACCAGGATTACCAAATGGCAACCTGCTTCCAGGACCCTCAACTCTTATACCACCAAACTTCTTTGTGGGGCATCGCCAGCCACTGCATGTCAGCCCCAAGAATAAGTCTGCTGGGATTCTTTTAGTTCCTCCATTATGGAGATCTGATTCTGATGTGCTACACACTGTGATAAAATAAATGTGTATGTATTCTAGTTTCTTCTGTTTAAGACCACAGGATAGCATCCACAAGATTCCAGTTTTTCTAAACAATCACTTGGAAATCCTTAACCCATCCAAAAAGTATGCATTTTAGCTGAGAAAATCACAAATGAGGTTAGTGAATGAGGCATGTCCAATGAATAAGGAACACTTAGTTATTGTCTCTTAAATCTTGATATCAGTAAAATGTTTAGAGAGCAAAGTAAATCTTGCAATTGTATCTTATACACTGTAACTGTGGGCCTGTGGCTTCATTGACTTGGAACCATTTATTTTAAGCTATATGCTAGCATACTGTCATTGAATAGGATGTCATTCTAAGCTAGTATGATATGAGAGAAGGTTTGCACTATGTTGAAGTTTAACTTCGGTAATTGTTTTCTAGGTAATCTTGAGCCTTCTGACAATGGTAGAGTTTAGGGGGATATGAACCATGAAAGAAGTACAATGTCGGTCTTTTCAGCAGTGGTAGGAAGAATTCTTGTGGGGATGATGATTGGGTCTTGCATAGAGGCTAGGAGTGGACCATTGCCATGGGATGGACAGATGGGAAGTGGGAAGGCATTCGAGCTTGGTAATTAAGATCATGGAGCAAGGATCCATGTAAATATCACATGTTATGTAGGTAAGCTGAGGAGTTGGCCTCAATTTTTCAAATCTTCAATGGGCCTGAACCCTAACCAGATTGTAATGCATTTCCCAGGCCTCTCTTCTCTTTTAAGGAGTTGTCATTTCTTTGTCTTCTTCCTCCTCTTTCCAAGATAAATTGTTTATTTTTACCAAACCAAAAATAAATTGCAGGCAATTGCTTAACCTCCTCCATCTTTGTATTCAACAAATCAACAGAACCATAGGGATTTTGTCTTATTTTATTTCTTACAAATTAAATATAAATGTCCATGCTCAGAATATATTTTGGTTATGGAAGATTCCATAAGAAACTAAGTCATTTTATCATAATTCTGTAGTCTGCTTAAGCACAGACATCCCTGACTAAAAAAAACCTTACCGGCATTGTGGACTCCAGTTGTGCTGACATGGTACTGGAAACTAAATTTGTGGGCACCATACTTGTGGATGTCGAAAAGGACATCCTAGCAGATGGCTTATCTGTGATTTCCTCCTGCTCGGCCTGTATAGTGGCAAAAGAAGATGAACCCTGGGGAGCCGACAACTGAGATTTGTGCGGCTGCTCAGCAGTCTTCTCAGCTTGTTCTTGTTTTATATAAGGTATTGATGATGGAGCGCCAATTTTATGCTCTTTAATTGCTGAATGCCATGGAACTGGATTTTGTTGTAATGTTGAATGACTGGACAAGTGAGAAAGAGGTCCAGTTGGCAATCTCTTTGGCTCATTAGGAGAGTTCTGCATCTCATACTTTGCCACACTCATCATGTTCACAGGTTGAGTTGCCCCTCCTATTTGAGTTGAAACCATACTTTGATGAAGTGGAACTTGCCTCATCTGTGAATCTTGAGTTTGGGATTTCAAAGAAGTTGCTGCACCACTAATAGGTGGCCCAGAATAGGCATGAGAAGAATGATAATTACCAACTGTGCCCCCATACATTGTGAAGGATGTCTGAGGAAGGTGTAAATGCTGTTGCTGCTGTTTGTTAAGTCCTTGCACTGAAATTGTAGGCAGTTCCCTTTCCTGCTTCACCATGCTCATGTTGGCTGAAGACATTTTGCTCACATGTGTTCCCTGTGAATCTGACTGGCTTTCTGTATCTCTGGACCTTTGAGTACTGTTCTCTGTGGTCAAGAAATTTGAATCGGCCTGTATTTGAACTGTTGAAGTAGGAACCTGAGACAGGTCAGTTGGTGATTTCTGGCTCTTCTGTTGAAGTTGTGAAAATGAATGTGGATCGGTGAACTGCGATGTAGTAAGAGATGGCATTTTAAGTTGCTGTTGTTGCTGTTGTGGCTGTGTCTGTGGCTGTGGCTGAGTCTGAGATTGAGGCTGAGGCTGATGATGATGTTGTTGTTGATGATGAGAAGAAGCTTGAGATTGTAACTGGAATTGGTGGGAACCTGTCTGTGGGTTCTGAGCAGCCTGAGTTTTAGATAGTTCCTGATGTAATACATGCTTTAGTTACCAGACTGCTAAGTTCATCAAAACAACAATAGATTATATAGATTACTGATCCACTTGCCTGCATTTGTACCTTGGATACTGCCTGTTTGAGCATATGGTCCCCCACAATACTCCTCATGAGCCTGATAAAGCCCTCTTTATTGATTTCATTTTTCTAGTAACAAAAGTAATTGCAATGAAATGTAGGATGAACAATAGAATAACCAATTTCAATTCAGACAAGAAAAAATGAATATCTAACAAAAAATGCTAAAGACTCACCCTCAATTTAGCAAAAAGTGTCTGAAGCTGCATAGCTCTATCCTTGTCAAGGTGGGGTAGTATGACAGGCAGCAACAAACCAAATGGTACTTGTTTGCTACGGGACATTGGATTATTTGCCAGGTCTGCTGGCAGGGCCTGTTGGTTGTTTGTCTTCTGTAATTTCGGATATTGGGGATGCTGAGTATCAGTGTGCAACATTCTATCTTGTTCTGAAAAGTGGACAGGATTTTGTTCTGATAATTGGACCCCACCTTTTTGAGAAAACTGGGGGGAATTCTGTTCTTCCTGCTGCTGATCAGTGGACTGCTTCTGTTGCAAAGGAAGTTGAGCGCGTTCTTGTGAACTCTGCTCGTTCGCACTAGATCCATGTTGCATTGGGTCACTTTCAGATTTACACTGCTCTTGTGGTTGCAGATTCCTTGGTTCTTCTTGCTGATTTTGGCAGGTATTATTTTCTTCCTGGTTAGAAGTTTGCCACTGTGGAAACAATTGACTGGATGTAGGATTTCCATTATGGGGTAAATCTGCTGCATTTCCCATTAATGTTTCATGAAAAGCACATTGGAATCAGTATTTGTGTTATGCAGACACCTACCCATGCATTTGAGTTGTGCAGTGTGACTTGGGGTTGGAATTACCAGATGTTTACATGCATGTCTCTGAGTTATGCAGATTGCAGATACCTACCCATGTACAGCTGCACAAAGACACTTTTTCTAGGGGTGTGTGTGTGTGTGAGAGAGAGAGAGAGAGTCTATGTGTGTGTTTGTCAATTAATCCTTCCAAACAAATTTTCATCTTAGAGACTATTTGATAATGGCTGAATTAGCTGAACTGAATTGCTTATCACTTTTCCTTTTAGTGGATAAACAATGTAGGGTGCAAGCTCCTTATGACTGAATGGAATGTTTGAGGTTAATTACTTTACCCCCTATATGTTTCATTGTATGACTATCCACTAAAAGAAAACAAATAAGCAATTCAACCAGACAATTGAGCAGTTATCAAATAGTCCCTTTATAATACTTAACCTAACCAAAACTGGAACTTAATTTTAGTGTTATACGCCTCGGCAAAGCCATTTTGACTTGTTAATATGTTTTTTAATTATAATGGTTTATGGTTATTCATTTTCATGAGAGTTTGGCAATAGTTTTAGTGCTGACTCCAATCTGACAGAACCCTCCTAGAGGTGCAAATGGACTGGATCATGATCCGATTTGAATCCAAATCTGATCCTATTTTGCTAGATTCAGATATCCCTCTGTCAGATTTTTGGATTGGATCGTGTTGAAAAAATAGGATCCATTTAATAATTGAATTGGATTCGGATCTGCCCCTATCCAATCCAAGACATACATATTATTTATAAATATATTTACGTTGCATTTTGTAATTTGAATTTTTATATTATTTATGTAGTTTTGTAAAAAGACATGTATGCCCCCATTTTGTGTAAAATATATATATGACAAAAATGGTTGAAAAAATGCTTGTGTTTTTTTTCTTTATATAGACTGTTTTGTTTTTTTCCTGTTAATAGTTTCTTAAATTTTATAGACCTATGGGTAATTAAACCAGATCAGATCAAATATGGATATCCTACATCCTTAGCAAATTCGAATTCATATTACCATTTGTAAGATCCATCGGATCATCAGATCGGAGCAGATATAGGATTTACATTATCAGAGCAGATTCAGATGTACACTAATTCAAATCCGATATGATCCATTTGCATCCCTAAACCCTCCTTTATCTGGGCTTCGACCAGTGGTGCAAGATGAGCTCACACTAGCATTAAACAGAACGGTACAGGATTCATGTAGTCAAACCCATATAGCTGGGATAAGGTTTGGATGATGATGATGATGATGAGGAGGAGGAGGAGGAGGAGGAGGAGGAGGAGGAGGAGGAGATGGGATGTCCTTTAAGTAACATTGTAGAATGTCAAGCATATGGCTTAGGATCATATGCAAGAGGTTTTCTTTTTTTTGGATCAGCATCATATGCAAGAGGTTTAACTATCTAGTCTTCTAGTAAACATGAAATCTGTGGCTGGGTTTGGGCATCTTGTATTATGGATATCATTTTTGTGGTAGTAAATAAAAAAGAAAATTTATTAAGAAAGAGTAGACAGAGATTAGAATAGAGGTGATAAGGAATCACCTATAAAAGAAAAAGAAAAAACCAAAGCCAATTTCCTCCTCTAACCAACAGAGATACGAATCCCAAGGCCCAAAAAACAAGGAACAATAAAACATCCTATACTGACTGCATCAGACCCCCCAAAATGCAGACAGCAATAAGACACAAACCCTTAACTCCCAAAACCTTCTGCCAATCCGCACGCCCCACCAAAACCAAACCTCCAAACATGAGTAAAGCCCTACACCCAAAGAACATGTCTTCGACTTAATATTTCATCATTAAACTGTATAATTTCTCAACCTCTCCAGCAGATGAAACATGGGCCTCTTTACTTCTCTTGATAACTCTCATTGTCTTCTTTACCCTCTTGTCCAACACCAAATAAGCCCCCTTTCAATATGGCAAAGATTTTTGAAACGTAAACGGTCCAACTATTTTTCTGCCTTCTAAACCTTCTTACTGCATTAGGAATATTCTTAGGAGACATTGAATCCTTAGTGTTGTTATTGATCCTTTCTAACTCTTAATACCACATATATTTCAAAGATGTGATCTGCTTCCATCTTACCACCCTCCTTTAAGCCATCCCTTGCTGCTTCAGATGGTCTCCTACTAACTTGTGCAGCACCATTTCTTGTAATAACATTTTGAATTATAGATTGCTATTTGATAGGATTTTGTCATCTCACTGGAGCGGCTTACACTGAGAAGACAAGTGGATACATGCATGTGAATGCACAAACAAGATACACATGCAAATACATTTGAATTTTTCATCAGTAACAGAACAAACCAGTGTTTTAAAAGGCGTGGGAGGTGTACGCCTGGAGGCGCGCCTCCAGGCAAGGCGCTCCCAAAACGCCCTTAAGCGTATGCCAGAGGCGCTGACACCTCGAGGCATACGCCTCAGGTGCAAGAGGCAATGCCTCTTGTACTTTCCTCATGAGGCATGCTAGAGGCATACGCTTCTTGCGCTTCATGCACATCTGATATGAAAATACAGAAAAAAAAAAGAAGAAAAAAAGGAAAGGAAAGGAAAGGAAAAGAAAAGAAAGGGAAAGAAAAGGAAAGGAAAGGAAAGAGAAGAAAAAAAGAGAAAAGGAAAGAACAGAAAAGATAAGGGGAAAAAAATGGTTTGCCCCCTGTCCCTTCGGCTGGGGGGCTTTGCCCCCCAGACCCCCCGCCCCCTTTTATATTTTTATAAAAGAATATAAAAATCTTTTATATTCTTCTTAATATAAAAGATTTTTATTAAAAATAAAGAAAAAATGAGATCCCCTCTTCCTTTTCATCCTCCTCATAACCCAAGGAGGCTTATGCCTCACGCCTCCGCGTGCCTCCACATTTTAAAACACTGGAACAAAGTACATCTAGTAAATTAAACCATTAGTGATAATGTCATTCCTGTTGCAAAGTACAAATTATCACAAGAGCTGAAGGATTTATATTTTTCTAAGTGTTCATATCAATCACTTTGAGATGTGATTCAGTCCAATAAAATTCTGTAAATAATTTCAGATTATAGCAAAGAAAGAAAAGGAAGAAGAAGACAGCAAGAAAGAAGAAGAAGAAGAGTACAATAGTCTCCTCTCTTATCCTTTATTAATCTTACCAAGACTGAACAAATTACAAGTCTGCCCTTAAGTGGGCAGCCAGCTCATCAACATACTTATAAAACATAAAAAAGGATTAACAGACCCATAAAGGAAAGTCCCATTAGCAAACAAAGCAACTAGGAAGAACCTAAGAACTAATTATAAGACAATAATTGGCAGCCCATTCGGCCCAGCCTCTCTTCACTCCCCATCAAGCTGAGCATAGATATCAATCATGCCCAGCTTGCTTATATAGTGTATCAGCTTTCCTTTGGGAACACCTTTTGTCAAAACATCAGCCAACTGTTCTTCAGAAGCAATAAATGGCAGGTAGACTTCTCCTGAAGCAACTCTCTCCTGTATAAAATGCCTATCAACCTCTTTGTGCTTAGTTTTGTCATGCTGAACAGGATTATATGCAATGTTGATAGCAGCTTGGTTGTCACAATGTAGCATCATAGGCTTCCCATAGTCAATACCCAAAGCAAAGAATCAAACCTTGTTCATGCCCTAATAGTGAAAGAAGTGAATAAACCAGCACATGCCCCTATTTCAAAGGTGCCAAAAGAGGTTGAAGACTTACTAGTTGATTTTTCAGATTTGATCCCAGAGGAGTTGTCTGATGAATTACCACCTCTATGTGATGTCCAACATGCAATAGACTTGACTCCCGAGTCTCAACTACCTAATTTGCCTGTACACCAGATGATCCCATAGAACATGCTGAGTTGAAGAGGCAAGTGGATGATCTATTTAAGAAAGGCTTCATTAGAGAGAGTCTCAGCCCATGTGTTGTACTGGCTCTACTCACTCCCAAGAAGGATAACTCATGGAGGATGTGCATTGATAGCAGAGCAACCAACAAGATTACAATCAAGTATTGGTTCCCTATTCTACACTTAGATGACATGTTGGATATGATGAGCGGAGCTACAATTTTCTCTAGGATTGATCTTAGAAGCGGATATCACCAAATTAGGATTCGACTTGGAGATGAATGGAAAACTGCTTTTAAGACAAAGGATGGCCTCTATGAGTGGTTGGTTATGCCTTTTGGCTTAACTAATGCTCCTAGCACTTTCATGAGAGTTATGACTCAGGTACTTCGTCCTTTTATTGGTCGTTTCTTGGTTGTTTACTTTGATGGCATTCTTATATACAGTCATACTCCTGATGATCATCTTCACCATTTACGTCAAGTGATGAGAGTTTTACACCAGGAAAAGCTCTACATCAACTTAAAGAAGTGCTCTTTTATGACACCTACTATTATCATTTTAGGATTTGTTATATCCTCTGAAGGTGCCAAGGCTGATCCTGACAAGGTGAAAGCTATACTTGATTGGCCCACTCTCACTGACATCCATGAAGTGAGAAGCTTTTATGGATTGTCTACTTTTTATAGGCGTTTTATAAGGAATTTCAGCACTATTATGGCACCAATTACAGAAGCTATGAAAAAGGGGGAATTTGTTTGGTCTAAGGCTGCAACTAAAGCCTTTGAGATTATCAAGCAAAGGATGACTGAGACCCCAATGTTACAATTCGCCAACTTTTCAAAAATATGCTCCCCAAGTTGGAATAAGTGGTGTGCTTATGCAAGAAGGACATCCTATAGCTTTTCATAGTGAAAAGCTTAATAAAGCTAGACAAAAGTACTCCACATATGACAAAGAATTATATGCCATTCAAGGGAACTTGTACTCAGATCATGAGGCACTCAAATATCTCAAATCTCAAAAGCATCTTAATAGTTGACATTAGAAATGGGATGAATTTTT